TAAGCTTCAGGCCATCCTGGGCTACTGAGCAAATTCAAGGCCAGACTGAGTTACATAGTGAGACTCAGTCTCAAAATAAATAAATAAATAGATAAATAAATAAATAAATAAATATCAAAGATAGGAGATGTGATACAGTGGACAGAAGTATGTGCTTGATTAACAGCAACTACAATCTACAATCTAATCTTCAGGGTCCTGGCCTGTTTATTCCCAAGGAATAGAACTCATACTCAACCAGCCTGCCAAGCTGTCATGTGAACAGCATATAGCTGCTCTGCCAACAGGAAAACCTAACTCAATCAAATAAAAATCTAAGTAGATTACTAAAAGTCCCCCACAAATCCCTGCCTCTTCTTTTGAGGCAGGGTCTCACTCTGAGACCCAGGATAGCCTTGAACTCACAATCTTCCTGCCTCAGTCTATCACACGCTGAGATAACAGACATGTACCACCATACTGGCATATTACTAGCTTCTAACAAGATAACAATTTTATGGCATTTTACCTATTTCTTTCTTTCTTTCTTCACATGAATGGAAGCATCTGGATACAATACATAAGCAGTTCTCCACACTTAGAGTGTATATGTTAAGGTCACAGGGCTGATCAGGCCAGGGAGAGCATGAGGTTAAGAATCTTGCTAATACTGAAGCACACTGATTTTGCCATACAGACATTTGCAGTGATGATGAAAAGCAATGGTGGGTAAACTGTTGCCATCTTTGCCCTCAAAACTATCACTGCCATTGGTAGACAAACTCAAGGCCACACACGTTAAAAAGAAATCCCAGTTGCACTGCAGGATACCCTTGCTGAGGCACTAAATATTTGCTGTGGAATAATCCTTCTGTACACTGAAAATGTGTTGCTCTCATTGTTTTTATAAAGAGGACAGGTCGATAGCTAGGCAGGATTTCCGGGGCAGAGAGAATGCTGGGAAGAAGGGTGGGAGTCTGAGGAGTCTCAAGCCAGATGCAGAAGGAGCAACATGGGAAGTTCATAGATGAGGTAAATGAACCTCAGAATAGCACACAGATTAATAGAAATGGGCTAATTTGCTGGGTGGTGGTGGTGCATGCCTTCAATCCCAGCACTCAGGAAGCAGAGGCAGGTGGATCTCTGTGAAATGGAGGCCAGCCTGGTCTACAGAGTGAGCTCCAGGACAGGCTCCAAAGCTACACAGAGAAATCCTGTCTCAAAAAAACAAAAAAACAAAAAAAAAAAAAAAAAAGAAAGAAAGAAAGAAAAAGGAAAAAAGAAATGAGTTAATTTAAGTTGTAAGGGCTAGCTGGAGACAAGCCTAAGCTATCAGCCAATCATTTAAAATTAATAATAAGTCTCTGTGTGATTATTTGGGAACCACTGCTGGGACACAGAGAAACTCTGCCTACAAATATTATTTTAAACTTTCAACCCTTCAGTGTATACATATGGCCAGGCACACATACAGTATACTTCTGAACACCCAAGTACAATGGTGTTTCAGAGGAACTGGCTGCTCAAATCAAAGCATTTGTGAAGGTGAATGAACTGTGAGTCAAAATATCTTTTTTCCCCTCCCTTTCTTTTCATGGAATATCCTTTAAATTTTTTTAGAAATTAAGTCAAATTTTTTGCAACTGGGTCTTGCAATGTACCCTGGGCTGGCCTTCAACTCTTGATCCTATTGACCGGTCTCCAATGCTCAGATTACAGAAATGTGCTACTATGCCTGATTATAATACTATTTTTTTTTTAAATTTTTTTTTTGGTTTCTCAAGACAGGGTTTCTCTGTGTAACAGCTCTGGCTGTCCTGGAACTTACTTTGTAGACCAGGCTGGCCTTGAGCTCGAGATTCGCCTGCTTCTGCCTCCTGAATGCCACCATCACTTGGAGATGTGTGTGTGTGTGTGTGTGTGTGTGTGTGTGTGTGTATACATATATATATATATATATATATATATATATATATATATATATAATTTTTAATGACAAACAAATCAGAATGATTCTGCTTGCCCAGTCAGTGTGAGGCTCTGGGTTCAATGCCCAGCACTCAAAAATTCCACGTTATTTTGACTTAAATATTTGACAGAATACTAGGAGGTGGGTGAGATGGCTCGTGCTTGTCATCTCAGCAACTGGGAAGCTGAGACAAGAGGAACATGAACTCAAGGCCAGCATAGCCTTTATATAGCAAGACCCTGTCTCAGATAAAAAAAAAAAAATCCCCAGAAATGTAACAAAGTGAGACTGTCACTTCAAGAAAAAATATGAGAATATAGATCTCTAATAAAATTCCAGCTTTCGGGCTGGAGAGATGGCTTAGCGGTTAAGAGCATCAGCAGCTCTTGAAGAGGTCCTGAGTTCAATTCCCAGCAACCACATGGTGGCTCATAGCCATCTATAAAAGGATCTGATGCCCTCTTCTGGCATGCAAGTGTACATGCAGAAGATAGAGCACCATACACATAAAATAAATAAATATTAAAAAATTCCAGCTTTCGCCGGGCGGTGGTGGCGCACGCCTTTAATCCCAGCACTCGGGAGGCAGAGCCAGGCGGATCTCTGTGAGTTCGAGGCCAGCCTGGTCTCCAAAGTGAGTTCCAGGAAAGGCGCAAAGCTACACAGAGAAACCCTGTCTCGAAAAACCAAAAAAAAAAAAAAAAAAAAAAAAAAAAAAAAAAAAAAAAAAATTCCAGCTTTCAAATGAAAACTAGAATTTTGGAGAATCCTATCTGCTACAGTGAATATCTGAAGACTTCTAATAAAGTAGATGATAACATTGAGGAATGTGGTATTGTATTCCCCCAAATATTGTGCATGCTAATAAACTTATCTGGGGTCAGAGACAGAGCAGCCACAATATTAAACATGGAGGATAGGCAGTGGTAGCACATGCCTCTTTAATCCTAGCATTCCAGAGTAAGAAATCCATGTGTTCAAGGATACAGCCAAGCATGGTGACTCACGCCTTTAATCTCAGAAAACGAACCTTTAATCCCAGGGAGTGGTGGTAGAAAGCAGAAAGGTATATAAGGCATGAGGACTAGAAACTAGAAACATTTGGCTGGTTAAGCATTTGGCTGGTTAAGCTTTCAGGCTTTCTAGCAGCACAGTTCAGCTGAGAGCCATTGGGATGAGGACACAGAAACTTCCAGTCTGAGGAAACAAGACCAGCTGAGAAGCTGGCCAGGTGAGGTTAGCTGTGGCTTGTTCTGTCTCTCTGATCTTCCAGCATTTCACCCCAATAACTGGCCTCAGGTTTGATTTTATTAATAAGAACTTTTAAGATTCATGCTACAGAGGAATGTGATCATTGGATAGTATATAACAAAGTATGTCAGCATCAGAAGAACTACAAAACACAGCCACTAATTTCCAAATGAACTGTGATTGATGTTACAAAATTAGGCGGAGTACACTCTCCATTTAAAATGTAAGATACACCAAATGGATTTCAATGTAGCAGAGTAAGAAGAGCACAGTGGTACGCACTTCCAATTCCACTCTGCAACCCATCCTGTAAAAACCACCATCTGTCCAACTTTGGTGTGATATCAAAGACTGCCCATGGCTACCTTAGGAAGCGATTAAAATATTCTCTTTCCAACTACATATGAATATGACACAAGATTTTCCTTCTTAAACCAAAATAAAATAGAGAAACAGATTAAATGTAGAGGTTTATATCAAGCTATTTTGTATTAAGTCACTCCAGCATCCACTGATAGATATGCATGTAATGTATTTATTACTATTTGATAAACACACTAATCCTTTAAAATTGTTCCAGTTTTAATATTATATGGTTAACTATGGGCAGATATAAATCGAAACTAATGTTCCTAGGTTTCCAGCAATTTTTGAAAGGTAAAGGGGTCCCGATATTAAAAAGTTAGAGAAGAGAGCTACTTGCCTTATAATGGAAATTTATTCTCTCTTCTTGCTTTCTAAGTGAAGACCTCCATTTCTAGGAACAGCTTCATTTGACAGCAATACCAGTAACAGCCAAGGAAACCAAAAAAACTACAACTACAACAACAAATCCAGCCCAAATAATGGTCACAGTCATGACAAGAACTCTTCAGAATCACTATTGTCCCCTGGGTGCACAAGAACTGCAAGGACTAAGGAACACAAAGATCCACGCAGATGAGTGGCAAGGCACAATAGAAAACTATGGAAAGCAGAAATGCTGATGGTTCAAAGTAGTTTTGTGCACATCTACAAAAACCACAAAGTTCTTTTTTCCCCGATGAAGTCTCGCTTGAAATTTCAGTGTAGGGCAGATTTGGCAACGGGGGGGGGGGGGGGGGGGGGAGTGGTGGCATTGTTTCCCGAAAGCTGGTATATCCGTGCAAAGAATTTAATTCCCTCACCATTTTGCTACTGGTCTGTAGCAGAGGGGTGTGGTTAGAGCGGCGCTAGGAAGCAATTCAAAGCAGCAGCCTAGGCTGCCCCAAACTGTGGACAAGCAACAATTCTGGGCCAAGTCCATTTGCCAGGGTAAGAGGCCGAATGTTTTATGGGAAGGAAGAAAATAAAAATGAAGTTAGAAAGCAAGGATGGAAATAAGTATCAAAATCAAAACGGTCCCGGGTGTACATTAAACGCCCGATACGCTAACATGTGCATGAGGTGCATATGAAAATGCTTTATTTCCGAGCCCACAGCTGTGGCACTTGCTATATCAGGTCTGCAGTTCTGAAGGGAACGTCGGTCTTTCTTTTGGTATTCATTTTGGGTTGGGTTTGTGAACCACTATTCTTATGGACTGCGGCTGAGGCAATCCCAAACAAAGGGAAAGGATAGCCTCCAGAGGGAAGCGGGGAGGGAAAGGTGGCCCCAGGTTGCTGCGCCAGGTGTCCCTCCGGAGTCCTCCAAGCAGGCGGAGGGAAGGGGCAGTCCCAGGAGCATCGTAGGGATTCAGGAAGGCTGCACCAGGCCCCACGGCATTCGCGGACAGACGACCCCACCCTGCCCACGGTCAAGGTTAACCCGCCCACCGGAGTACCTGTGGAGGCCTCGCACAGCCGAAAGGCACAGGGTGATCATGGGCACGCCGGGAGGCCGGCAGCAGCGGGCGCGTGGTCCTCCGGCCTGTGGGTGCGGCAGGCGGGCGGTGGAGTCTCCGGGCCCGGGAGCCGAGAGTGGGCCTTGCCGCGGAGACCAGAGCTCAAGAACGCGGCGGCCAGCCCTGCCAGCGCCCTCCCACGTGCTGCAGCCCCACGCCTGCGCCCGCGGCCCCGCCCCTCGGCCCGTCCCGCCCCGCATCCGGCTCCGCCCCCGGAGCGGCTCCGCCCCCGGAGCGGCTCCGCCCCCGGAGCGGCTCCGCCCCCGGAGCGGCTCCGCCCCCGGAGCGGCTCCGCCCCCGGAGCGGCTCCGCCCCCGGAGCGGCTCCGCCCCCGGAGCGGCTCCGCCCTGTCCCACCCCTCGCCCCGCCCCTCGCCCATCGCTCCGCCTCTCTCCCTGTCCCCCACCCCACCCCACCCCCTCGGTGCCCTAGCTCCGCCCCAGGGGCGGATCCAGCAAGACTCAGCGTCCGAGAGAGCCTAGCTAGCAGCCGGGTGGGCTGAGGGGGCGGCGGCGCTGTGGGAGCCGGGGGAAGTTTGGGAGACGCGGCCAGCTCTGCGATCCAGAGCGCCGCTCAAGCCTCGAGGACCGCGGGGGCAGGCGGACACGCTTCCCGACGCCCCCGGGGCCCGCAGCCGTCGTCTCGTGTCCTCTCGCCTGGTAAGGGGCTTCTATCTGGAAAGGGTGCGTCTCCCGCAGCTCCAGATGGAGGCCTGCACCGCGCACCCCGTGCAAACCCGGTCTGGGCTGAGGCAAAGCCGGGGTGCAGCGGGGAGGGAACCATGGAGTGGGAGGTGGATGTGATTGGAGATGTAGGAGGGGAAGCTTGGAGGAGGTTGGACAGCACCCCCCGGCTCCCCGTTCTTTCCCCCTTCTGCCCCCGGGGCCTTAGTCAGTATGTGTAATAACCTCGCTGGCCTGGAGACTGGGCTCGGCTTTAGGCTTCAAAAGAAGTACAAAGCCAATAAACATCCTAGCGGCGAGTACCACACCCTGGCTGTGAATTAGGGATCCCGGGGAGCAGATTGCTGATACGATTTAGTGGAAATAAGCCATTAATGCCGCCTGGCCCTGCGCCACTGTTTGGATGCATAGTATTCCATGTGAATGAACGCGGCCAGGAGCTTCCGGCTTGTCCACGAGAGCACAGCTACTGCAGGCAGGGCAGGTCGGTTCGTAGTATCCATCCGTTTAGACGGTGATTTCTGAGCCGTGTGTTGATTAAATAGAAACGCCGTTTATTAACAGTTTAGACGGTGATTTCTGAGCCGTGTGTTGATTAAATAGAAACGCCGTTTATTAACAGTAGTACTCAGTTGGTTGAACAACCTTTCCACAGAGCCTTGTCATCAGCAAGTAACTCAACCTACAAAAGTAGTGGAGTGTAAATTATTAATACATTTAAAAAAAAAACACCTTTTGGAATAAAGGAAGATGCTTATTGTGGCTGCCTTCTGAGTCAGCAGTACTAAATCTCCCTCAATTCAAAGTGAGGCCTTTCAAGGGTGATTCTCCCTGTGTCTTTCTTGTATCTGTATCATATACATTGTTAAGACAGAGTGAGTTTGCTACACATGTTTTGAAAACACGTCTTTTCACTGAGGCAAGCTTTAACCCAGTTTAACCCAGTGCTGGGTTTGAATGACCATGTGGAATATATTACTGTAACAACATGTACTTTCTTGACACTTTAAAGAGAGAAGAGATCAAGGTAATGGATATTTTTATTTTTATTGCTTTTAACATAGTGTATAACCACTGATATTTTCTTCTTTTTTCATCAAGGAGGTAGCCAAGCTTCTAAAATGTCATCGGTCAAGCCTCTGGTTTATGCAGTTATTCGTTTCTTGCGGGAACAAAGTCAGATGGATGCATATACTTCTGATGAACAAGAAAGTTTGGAAGGTAGGTACCTCCTGTTCTTTGTGTTCGTATCATAATTATGAAGAAAGGTTAAAATAGCTATAACCCCAAGTTCATGATTTTTAATAGCAAAATCAGAATATTTTCTTGAGAGCCTTAACTAGATGTGTTATTTCCATTTTCTGAGATTTGTTTTAACTAATAAAAAATACAACTATTGTTTATTTACTGAAAAATTATTGTCAGAAGTATGTCATTCATATTCTAGGGAAGTTGTTCTTGGTGGGGGGGGACTCAGTTAACATTGTTCCCACTTCACAGATGAGGAAAGGAGATCACATGATTTCAGCAGCAGAACAGTTACTATGTAACAAAACTGAGGTTTAAATCCAATTCATACTTCAAAGGTTTTTTTTCCCCTCATTTTTCTAATAAGGAGAGGATCTCATTCAGAAGAACACTTGAAAATACCTTAGTCATTGCTATATCACTATGTAAAAAAAAAAATCTAAGTAATTATACCATCACTGAGCTCTAGTAAATGATACTTTGAGAAATAGAGGATTTTGCCCTTGTTTTATGGGAGCTTTAAATCTTGGCTTCAGTAATCTGTAAAGCTGAGCAGGACTGGAGAAGTACCATGCATTTCCTTGATACCATCTTGGTGCTTCATGTTTATGAATGATAAAGTTTTAATTCAGTACAGCTGTAAGAAGATGGAATGATGCATGCAGATAGATAGGCTTCAGAAAGCCTAGCTTCCTTGTGGTCCAAAGACTTAATTGTTGCAATGAGAGCACATTGGGGTGAGCTGAGGAAATAGCAGAATGGTTTGAATTTTCCATCTCCAGGCTGCTTCTCCAATAGAGAGGGACTCATCTATTAATTCTGTGTACTTTCGTTGTAGATATGCTTTAAGTAGGTGTAAATCAAAACTGGGCATTTGTTCTAAATCGTCCTGTGAGTTGATGTCTTTCCAGGTGGCAATGGGAGGAGCAGGTGAGGCACAGTGGGAGGACGTTGCAGATTAGCCCCTTTAATAGTAAGGTCTTTCTGTCCTTCCTGACTGTGTGAGGATAAAGGTAGTTTGGCTAGCAAAGGAAAGTCTTGGTTGTGATTGCTCTGTAGCCGGCCGCAGAGGAAGGCAATCACGTAATAAGAGATATTTCTTCTCCAATCTAAGGCAGTATGGTGTTTTTATGAAGCAGAAAGAAAATCGGGAGTATTTTAAAAACCAAGATGTTATGCCCTATTTTTAGAATGGCATTCAGCCAAAAATATGTGCCTTCAGCTGTTTGTTATATATGGAGTCGGCAATGGTGCCAATTGTTTGTGACTGACCCCTATTTTTGACTCTGTGAGTCTAATTTAATTGAACATGAAGTCATGGGGAGGTGTCTGCCCACCTTCGAGACATTTAAAAATGCCTTGGGAGAGGCTCCGTTGTTCCAGCACATTTACCACTGTTGTGGAGCTGTGCTTCATCAGCTTTGACGTTCGTCACCAGGTCATGTCATCCACTCCTCCTAATTGTTGTCGTCTCTGACATCTGCCTCACTTGTGATTGTTGTCCCCGCAGCACACTGTCACTCCCGTCTGAGCTCTTTCCCGGCCTGATAAACTCCTGGGTGATTCTCGCAGTTCTCTCCCACGGGCCGCCTGCGCTTCTCCCCTCCCCTGATTTCAACCACTTGGCTATACGCTAGGTCGGTGTTTCTGAATCAAGGGTCGCTTTGCAAAGTCTTGGAGACATCTTTGAGGGTCACGACCTTTGGGGAGGCTGGTATTACTGGCCTCTCATGGGTAGAAGCTGTAGATGGTGCTAAACCCTCGGCACTGCCCAAGAAGGGCCTTGATCACAAAGGAATTACGTGATCTAAAGTGTCAGGTGATGAGATGCAGATTCCCTTTCCTAGACCATATCATTCCCAAATTTTATTCCACCAGCAATCTCTATCTAAAACATTTTACTTCCCGACTTCTACTGTCTGTGTCTCTAGCACACTCCCTCTAGTATCCATATCCCAACAATCCCTTGACCACCCCTCCAATTTCCCCTACCGCTGTCTTACTTGTCTTAAATCCTGTGCTGGATCATTATGATATTTTCTTGTATAATTTCTCCTGCCTGGAAAAACTAAACCTTAATTTTAATTTTCTAACTACTGAGTTAGGAAATGTCCATATCCATTTGACTATACATTAATGGAGCAAAATGTACAATTTTGCTGACTATTAATTCATGACTGAAAACCTTAAGCAGACTTTTAGTGCTGCTGGGTGACCAGGGTGTTTGTTCCTCATTCATTCATTTTTTCATCCTTTTTATTACCCTAGATGGTCATTTTAATAATCTCTTTTATCTTCTGAAACTCCAGACTTCTATTTCAGCTTTTACCATTAAAAAAAAAAAAAAGAGCCGGGCGGTGGTGGCGCACGCCTTTAATCCCAGCACTCGGGAGGCAGAGCCAGGCGGATCTCTGTGAGTTCGAGGCCAGCCTGGGCTACCAAGTGAGTCCCAGGAAAGGCGCAAAGCTACACAGAGAAACCCTGTCTCGAAAAAACCAAAAAAAAAAAAAAAAAAAAAAAAAAAAAGAAGAAGTAAACAACATCTACCAACTTCCACACTCCTTACATTCAGTCACTGCCGATACCCTCATGCTTTGCCTACCTGCCTGTCGTCTATTACCGTAGGTGGACTAGCTATATCTCTTTCTCAGAGAAATCTCTCTACTGGCACATTTTGTCCCATCCTATCTCACCTGCTAGGATTTTATATAGATTCTGTTTGTCCCACATCATCAAATTTTCACTCCACTGGATCATTTTCATTCAGTCATAATAAATGTGCCATTAGTTCCTCTCTCATTAAAAACAAAAACAAAAGCAAGAAAAGAAAAATGAATAGGGATGGAGAGATGGCTCAGTGGGTGAGTGCTTGCTGTTCTTCTAGAGGACCCGAGTGAGGTGCCCAGCCCACACTGAGTGGTTCACTCCCACCAATAGCCCTGGCTTCAGGGAGATCTGAAGCCCTCTTCTGGTCTCTGAGGGCATTCTCTTTACAGTCGGTACACAAATACACACACACACACACACACACACACACACACACACACAAGCGAAAATAATTTTTGGGGGATAGAGAGTTGGCTCAGTGGTTTAGAGCACTGGCTGTTCTTCCAGAGGACTTGAGTTAAATTCCCAGCACTTACATGGTAGCTCACAACTGTCTAGCCCCAGGGGATCCAGTGCCTTCTTCTGGCCTCTGGTAGCACCAGGAGCACATGTGTAGCACTGACATATATA